AACAAATATATAATTAATTTATTTATTATTAAATGTTAATTTATCAATCAAAATTGTCGTATTTTTTTTTAATTAAAAAAATGTATTATTTTTTTTTGAAAATAAAAATGTATCTTAAAAAAATTTATGTCAAAATATATGTCTGAAAATTTTTGATTTACATCCAATTATATCCAATATATATATAAATCAATATCATTATTATATTAAACGTTAATGATAGATAAGAACATTAATTTTCAATTGTTCTAAATTCGTATAAAAGAATAAAAGTTAGAAAATTAAACTAAATTTTTTTTTCGATTATTTATTATAAGTATAATATTTCATAGTTTAACATTAGAAATATGAAAAAAGCGTTAAGAAAAAATAGAAAATCATAAAAGAAAAAAGACAAGAGAGAAAAAGTTAAGAACCTAACATTGATTATATAGTAAGTTGTTCTCAGTCTGTCAAGATAAAAGATAACCTATGTTTAATCAATTCTTTGTTCTAACAACGAAAACAATTATATTCGATCAAATTATATTAGTATTATTTAAATATTAATTAAATAATAATTTTTAAATAAAAAATATATTTGTAGTTTATATAGTACATCAATTTTATAAAAACATGATAAAAATACAAAATCTTAATAAATAAATTAACTTTAATAAATAATGGAATTTACTAATATTACAATTTAATAATACTTTAAAAAAAAATCAATTTTATGTTTAAATATTTTTATTTTGTTAAAAAAAATAAAATAAAAAATATATAGAAAAAAATATTTAAATGGAAATATTAATTATATATTTGTAAATTACATATAAAATATAAATATTATAATATTTTATTTATAATAAAAAATTAATTCCAATCGTTTGATAACATGAATATCAAGCATAATTTACACTTTATTCTTAAAAATATACATATTTATTTTAAAAATATATATCATTAATATACATACATTTTTTATAACTTTAATCAAAGTAAAATATTTTTTATATTTTACAAATAATATATAATAAAACTATTTTAATTAAATTCAATAAAAAAAAATTGAAAGTAATTTTAATTTTCATCAAAATAATAAACTGTTGATAACTGTCATTATCAAATGCACGTAAATAACTTGATATGAAAAACTAAAAGAAATGACCACAATCATAAATAACAGTATACAATCGCATTCTATAACCTCTTACGCATAGGACATTCTGACTAATAGCTTTCATTAAAAAGTGCTTATAATAGAAATCTTTATAAAAAATAACGGTCGATCACAAAAATTAGTAAATTTCTCCATCATAAGGAGACATAAGATGGCGGTAGGTTTCGGATCAAAAATACTAATATAAGTTGCGTACCTGAAGATTCGTATTTGTATCTTCGATAATCTCATCTGTTTCCATGTTCATCATTTTCACACAAAACTGACACAATATTGTTGATTCAAATGATGTAAATAGATTTATTTGGTGGAAAGTTCTAGTAAAAGGATAAAACACAGTTTGAACACTAGCGTTTGATTATTCAACACGACTGACGACGCTCATGAGTCCTCGCCATGTACAGGAAGTTGAGACAACATTTCACCAACACAACAGCTCGTAAATAACTATGTCACTTACAGAATCAAGAAATCAAAATGTGTGTGTGTGTATATTACAACTCTTAATTCATATGGAAAAATGTATTAATCTTATATATGAACAATATTCAAAATATAATTAATTTTCTTTTTTTAGAAATATACGAGATATCTGAATGAATTCCCAAATTTATAAAAATATGTACACGATTAGCCGCCAATAAAAAGCTTATGAGAAGCACTAACACTATCAAGTTCACAATGCTTCTGTTTGACTGAATCAACTTGGTGGCGCATCAAACATGAAATTTCCAAGATGGCGCATATGCGCAAAATATTCCGCGCATGTTTCAAACATAATTTCAAGTAATTTTATTTATTAAAAGTATTTTTTATTAAATACATTAGTATGTTTATTTATATTTACAATCTATTCATAAAAACGTATATATTTATATACTTGTTACATTTACAAATAATGTATAAAAAAAAAATAATGTAAAATAAAAGTATGGAATTTTTATATTTTAAATTATTTTAATCCTTAGTCTTTTTTTATTAAATCCATTTGATTTGTTCATTTTTATTTCTTGTATTTTCCACCTGAATTTGATTAAGAGCAGCATATGGTTTATGACATACCTGTGAATCTAAAGGTGGATAATAGTATCTATAACACATATATGCCAAAAAGTATCCTATTATCGAACCTACAACCACATCTAACATTTTGAGGATATTAAAATATTTATTTGTTAATTAAAATATAATAAATATAATAATTTATTCACTTACCTTGCCAATGATGATGATAATCAAAAGTTCTACTTAATGCAATTAAAAGAGCAATACAAATTGGTAACACAAATGCAAATAATTTCCATAACTGCCCTTTGCCTAGACTAAATGTATGTAGTTTACCAGCTATATATAATGCAATAAAACCAAAGCTTGTAAATGCAACTAAAAAATAAATATATATATAGATTTTTTAATATAATTCAAATATTTCTAAAAAAATATTTCATTTTTTCACATACATGAAGAATGACCACTTGGGAATGATTTTTTTCCATCTTTTATAACAACTGGATTTCCATTACATTTGAAATCTGGATTTGTCTGTCCATCAGGAAAACATCTCCAAAAAAAATCTGGCCGAGGACGACCTATCAAAAAATAAATTATTATTATAACAATATTATATAATAATTTTTTAAAACCATTAATATTTTAAAATTCTTACCAACAATAAGTTTTATAATATCTGTAATAACACCATTAAATCCTAATGCTAAAGTGACAGCTAATACTGCTTGATAAATGTCAGTTTTATCTTTGTAGACCAGAAAAACACAAAAAATTACTATAACAGGCATTATGAAAACTAAGGGCTAAAAATAAATATGTAAATTAATTTTATACATAAAATTTAATTATAATTTAGTATACACTACCCATAATATAGTAGTTGGAACATAAGATTCTGTTCTTGGTTTTTTATATAACCATAATTCATCTTCATGAATTATTCTAGTAAATGGTTCTGCTTTTTCTAATTCACTATAAATATAAAAAATAATAAATTTATATATAAAAAATAAAGATAAAGATTTATTTTATTTGTAAACTAGTTAAACAAAACTTACATAAATAATCCCACTAAAACAATTCGTAATAATATATCAAATAAATATCCTACTAAAAAATCTTTACTATATATAATACTCATTATGAATTTGAAATTTTAAATATTATAACATAAATATTATAGAAGTACGTATAGAAATACGTATAATAAGTATGTTTTTGTTGAAAAGTTTATATAAGTAATTTCACTAAAATAATTCGTAATAACATGTCAAACAAATATCTTGTTAAGAAATCTGTATCATATATAATATTCATTATGAATTTGAAATAATTATAATACAAATATTATAAAAGTACACATAACAAATACGTTGGCACTAGAAAAAATTCAAGCCCTGCAAGAATAGAAATATTTCTTTCCATCACTGATTGCCACAACTTATATGATCTTATTTGTGATGTGACATTTTCAACCAATATGAATACTTATTTTTATGAATATTGAAATCAACCAATCAGATTTGCATTTCGTAAAGCGATTTGGCCAACTTGCTAACAATATATAATATAAACAAAATGATTTGAAATTATACAAATCAAATAATTCATTTCATCACAAATACATAAATATATATACAATTATATATTTATATAATATTATTAAAAGTTTATTAAAAGTTATTAAAAGTTTTTTATATATAAATTTTTTTTATTATCTAAAAAATTTTCATTTTTTATTTATTATAAAAATTATAAGAAATGTATTAATTATTTTTTATTAATATATTAATATATTTGTAATATATATGTAATATTTGTAAATAT